TGTTTTGGGTATTGTAAGTAGGGGCACACATTTACATTTTTAAAAAAGAAGTAGGAACTTGGCATAAGGAGAACCTTTGCCTATTTTTGTGTTCCTTAATTTCTATACACTTGCAAGGCCAATGAATCGAAACGTCGCAGACTACTGACGAACTTCTCGAGCTCAGCGGGCTTTGTGCCTCTTTTATGGCCATGTCGTGGTGTTTGGGCTCGCCTTTTGTTCGCCGCGCCGCACCACTAAAATGTAATAAAATAAAGTGTCGGGGATTTTCGGTTTCCGCTTGGATTCCCTGATTGCAGGAGCAGACAGGTAGCCGTATCTCCTGCTCGGAAAGGGCGGCGCCGAGGCCTCGGGCGCGTCAATGGTGTGAAGTATGCAAAAAGGGAAACTAGAGCGGAGCTAGCAAAAATCGATTGAACAAAAATTCCACGAATCAGGATTGCATTGCGTGTGGTTCCGAGGGGCGGCAATCCCATCTGGAGCGAGGCTGGTGTACAGTAAGTGCTCGTCCATTCCCGTGAACGAGTCCTGCTCGCTTGTGTTTTATAGATTTGCTTTTATTGTGCGGTATTTATTGCGGTATTCGCCGCAGACTTTTTTCCGCGCAGTTCATGTTGGCCAAGTTGGCGGGGGCATGGGACCGATGGTGGAGACATAAGCCTCTTAAATTGGTTAGCCTTTTCTGGCCCAATTTTTCTATTTCGTTTTCATTTTGTGCCGAGTTTTGGATTTGGTCGGCTGTAAAACTTTGACCCGCTCTGGTTGTAAAAATTGTTAATTAAGTTAAGTTTGAAATGTTGTTTTACGGCGCCCCTTTTATGGGTGTGCGATATAATTTAATTCCCGACTGGATTTGCCTCTAAAATGCCCACACACTGTGAATGGTAAATCGAAATTGGGCTGTTTGCCGATCTCTTTTCGTTCGACTGGGCACGAATAAAACGCTCCTTGAGTCGCCCGGATTCTTCCACCCAGCCAACACAAAGAAGATCTCATTGTTAGTTTTGGCAACATCATTAGGGACCTTCCCGACCCCCAGCTCAGCACCGACCATGTGTGCTTACCTCAGCTCGCTCCCTCGTTTTGTTTGCTTGCTGCTCCGCCCATCGCAGGCGCAAATCCTGCAAATGGCGCATTGTGTTGCTTATCTTGCGGAGAAAGCAGCGAAAGCGGAGAAAGCAGGCACCGCACCGCGGAGAAGTGCTTACATTTGCGCAAATGCAGCACAACAAACACAAGCAAACAAGGACAAACACTGGGAGCCGAGGAAGACGTTAGCTCTGTTATTTAAATAAATCGTTGCATACTTTGTGGCGCGCCTGTGTGGGTGCGGAGTGGGGTGGGTCATGGTGGGTCACGGTGGGTTACGGAAGCGGGGTGGCTCCGAAGTGGATACGGAGTGAAACTTTAAATCTCATTTGAATTATTATGGCGGAAAAAACCACTCGACAGTTGCGATGTTCGCTCTTTGTCTGCATTCTGTTGCATACTTTATAGCGTTTTAAGTGCTGCGACGATTTGCAAATGCAGCAGAATGTGTAGTTGCTGCCACCGGGCTGTCGCTTGTTGGCTGTCAGTCGCAAAGCGCCCAGTTAAATGCAACTATGCAACACTCACTCTGCATTTCCTTCTGCTCCTGACCCAATTTCGCTTGCCGCGTGACAGTAATTACAAAAGCGACTGACAACGGCCAAAAGAGCGATCGTTTCGAATATGAGAGGCATCGGGATTACATTTCACCATTCAGCGGTAAGCCGAGCTCGAAACATGCTAATTATCACCGGGGAAGTGCTGGTCGGAATTTCGAGGGGCTCCGGGTTCCCAGCGCTGCGGAAGGTTATCACAATAATATTAAATGATAAATTATTAAAAATATGCCCAGTGCCCAGAAAGAAAATGCAAAGGCATGTGCCCGTAGTTCGCTTATAGAACTTACCGTAACTTGCAGAAATCCGTGTTGATTTCCATTAATTTCCACACGCCATTAGCTGCTCCTGCTATTTGCTATTTCGCGCTATTTCAGTGCGAACCTCAAGCGGTCGCGGTCAGCTAACCGACAACTCTTAAGCTGCCAGCAACCACAGCTACCGCTATCCCCGCCCCTCACCTCCTGCCCTCAGCAGGGTGCAAGTCAGGATGCCACTTGATCATTAACAGTGTGGCACGGAGTGCGGAGGCGCAGGAGCTCGAGGGATGTCAAACGCGGTAGCTGCAATGTTTAACAGCTTCGAGCAGTTGCAAGCGTAAATCAAATGCCACATTTCGCACTCCGAAAGCCCCGCCACGCTTATATTCTTTGTAATTTTTAACCACTTGCAACTTGTGTGGGTTGCACGGGCAGAAAGACATTCTGCACGCAAAAAGAGGTGTGTAGCATAGCTTCATACACTGCAAAGAATGAGCTCCTACACTATCTTTCATCGAAATATTTCTATACTATAATTATTGTGTTTTTTCAGTGTAGAAGAGAATGCGTGGCCAAGGCCCCTGCGACGCGCCACGCCCACATAGCTGGCGGTCGAAGAAAGGGCGCATGGCCGTGCAGGGGAGGTGGCAGCTCCCCGCTGGAAGGAGGAGCGGGGGAGCGGGGAGCTGCAGAAGTTGGCTGCCAACTGTTGGATGGTGCTGCTGCACAAGCACACACAATTTTGATTTATTATTTTGATTCCTGTTACTTTACTACCTGCCAGGATGCAGCCGGAGCTGCCACGGCGCCTCCTTGCAGCACATCATTTTGCAGCGCTCGGTAGTCGTCGAAGCTTTTCTTTATTTTCATTCACACGGTCTCTGGTTTTATTGCTCCAATTACTCCATGTACTACTCGTTTTCAGCCCCCCATTTCTTCCCAATCAATGGGTGGCAGTCGGGAAGATTTAATCTTTTGCTCTCCGCCATCCGTTGGCTGTTTTAATTTATTGCGCTTGCAGAGCTTTTGAAGGCTTCTGCGGCAACACACTACAAATCCAATCCGATAAATAGTTTGTGCCAGACATTTATTCAAGAATCAGGGGATACATTAAATGTCCTCTGCAAGCTCTTAAGAATTGAAAAGCACATCTCGATGAAAACCGTACCACTACAACGTGATACCAATTAAGCACTAACAATCACATGCTGAAAAGCCGAAGCCCTTTCCACTGGAAAAGCCATTTTGTGCCGGCGTCCAGAGGGTCGACACCTGTTCTTGCACAGCTCCTGCCTCGGAGACGGCGTATGCAAAACGCTTAACTGCACATAAAATATACAAAACTAACTTAGTTCGCGGATATCGCAGGGCATAACTCATGGCCACCCCACTCCAGCTTGTTTTCCGGCGAATCCTTTGCAGCGTGTGCCACTTGCCATTTGTAACCGGCTGCACAAAAACAAAACTAGTGATAATAAAAGAGCGAGAGGAGCACTGATTCCTAACAAGCTTGGCAGTGGTCGTTGCCAGAGTTGGTCCTGCAACGGCGTGGGGCTTAAGCACTGGCTTAACCGGAGGATTGGGTTGGGAAATGGAGCGCGGAAGAGGATCTTTAACCTGAATGAAGATTGAATAATTCGCTGCCATTCAGATCTTGCTGCGAATCCGTATCGAATTTGATCTGCGGACACAGCTTAGATACTCTAAGCATTAGCATACCAAAGATGTGTATTTTTAAATCCCGCTCGCAACTCACTCCGCTAATGCCAACTGCTGAGTGGATGCAACAAAGCGAGTGCACTCCGCGCTGAGTGCATGGAGAAAAGGGACCCTACTCTGTGGCGGGGGGTCGTGTGGCGGGTGGTGGTGCTGGTGCTGGTGCCCAGGGTGGCGCAGCTGTGGCGGGTTATGTATAAATTCATAAAGAGACCCACGGCAGCGAGAACGAGAAGGGAAAGCGACGAGAACGACGACTGCAACTGCGGCAACATGTTGTAATTGCGTATTTTATAGATATGCGCGGTCCTTTCGAGAGAAGAAAGGAGTGGGCGGCTGTTGTATCTTCCATTCGCTCTGTTTGCTTTTGTTTGGTGCGGAAATGGCAGCCGGTGTGCAGCGAAATATGGCAGTGAGAGCAACAACATCACGCATACGCCATGTTGCGCCATTTGAAGTTGTTGGCGTATACGTAATTTTTATTTTACAAGCAAACAAAAACGAAAAAACGAAAACGCGAAAACGCGAATACAGAAAACATTCAGCGCTGAAAAATGCATTCAGAGCCCAGGCAGCAACAAAAATGGCACACAGAGCACAGAGAAATTTTAATTGCTCCAAAAGCGACGACATCGGACGACGGGCCAAAACACATGTGCATGTGGACTGGTGGAGATCGGGGTCTACCAAAAACTAAATTTGTGTCCGTTATGGGGAACGTTCCTTTTTATGACTTTTAATTCAATCAAAGTTGAATGGACTTACGAAAGGATAACATCAATGATAATTTTTGTATGCTGTTTGTTTATCCAGACTCGTGTTTTGAGCGAAAATTGTGGATAAAACTCTGCTGGCTGGGTAGTTGTGAGGTCTTCAAACATTGAAAGTATGAAACATAATCACCTTCATTCCCTCATTCAGGTGCCATTTTCCCATGTGCCATTCACTTTATTTTTCCGGCACACTTTTGCAACCGTTTTTATACTACACTTTTTAATCGGCGCGAATTTGTGTACAGGTGAATGTGAAAGCCCGCTCCAAAAATAAAGGAACTCACAAAAAGTCGCACGCAAATGCGCACTTACCTTTTGCCTGCCCTACCCTTTTTATATCCTGTTTTGGATTGCTTTGTTGTGTGCATTATCAGCCATGTGTGAAAATCAGGACATGCGCGTGGGAGGAACGGCTTTGTTTGGCGCCGTTGGAAACTAATGATGATATAACAGGCTCGACGCTGGGAGCTCTCTTTTTACTTTCCCTTACTTTTAATGTGATATTCATCGCCGCCAACATTTAGTGTGCAGTGCCAGTTGAGTGTGAATGTTTGGATAAGCATTCTGAATTTGTTCCTTATCGGATTTGGCCCATACTGCTACGATTTAAACGCTAAGTTGACGTACTCACAGCTGTCTTTCAAAGAAATTTCAAATTAAAAAGACGATGTAAATGATGCATGATGTAATTATTTCATTGCTTTTGGCTATCGTGACGGCTTCGCAGCAATCCTTTACCTTGGAAATCGGATCCATGCAACTTTACTGCCCACTGATACCATACTCGTACGCCCATCTCGAGCTGCTTTGCAAAGGAGTCTATAGCGCTGACCTGTATTTGAAATACAAGGACGGGCTCACTTCAGTAGATGCGCCTTACAAGATCTTCTACTACAACCAGGATGGGTATTATGTCCTCTTCGTGAGCTTGAACGACTCTCCAGTGCAAAGGTGTAACAGCACGATCCAGCTGGACGATGAGCTCCACTTCTTTTGTGGAGTCAGTAGATCGCCCTTGATAGTGTTGGGCAGCCAATTCTTCTGCCACAAGGACCTAATGAGCTACGTGGATGACTTGTTGTACGCGTGCACCAAGCCAGGGGATCTGCGCTTTTTCAATGTTGAGTGGAAGGGAGTGGCCACAATCCATTATGCTGCCAAATCGGAGTCGAAGAACGGGTCTGCTTCGGGAATCCTTGGTTTTGAAACCTGGCTTGTCTGCCTAGTCTTGCTTCAAATATTTAAGCTGCTGTCATTCAATAGGTTCGAAATTCACGTAAGCTACCAGTTTGAAGCAAAATGCGGCTGTGCTCCATGTTCGTGCTCCTCTACATAGTTCCTAAGCTGGAGAGTGCCAAGGGCGGCTGCGACTCTACGGAAGTGCTGGGAATGGAAGGATCCCCAGCTCCACTGACCACGCAATCTTCTATCTGCCAAGGACGCCAGAATAAGGAGCTGTTTCGCGCACTGTTCAAAATTTGCCCCAAGTGAATTTGTGCCCATATCTGTCAATAAAATTTAAGAAAACCATTTCCTTTAAAACAATAAAGTTAATGACTCCGCTTAAAGTCTTTCCCAACCAGCTGGCCGCAAGTGTTGAGCTTTGTGGGAGCGCCACAGGCCAATATGGCGGCAGTCCATATAAGCACATAAATTATGCCAACGCCAATGACAATGACGACAATGAAATGTGATGCTCCCCATCCTGCCAACCTCCTTGCTCCTCCGAATCTCCGGCTGTGTGCGTAAAATGGCAGTTAGCTGAGCCTCTGTGTGCGGCTGTCCATGCCTGCGCCTGCATCTGGCTGCCATTGTTTGGATGTCTAAAATTTCATGCCACAACAGCAACTACAGCAACTACAATGGACTCCTAGTCGGCGAGGACCCGCCCATTTTGTTTACCCGAGTAAAATAAGCAGCTTCGTGATAATGCATGCAATCACGGGGCAAACGAGGGGCAGGATGGAGGAGCCGGAGATGAAGCCCGGCACTAAGCGAAAATGTTACTATTCGGAACCATTTTATTGACATAGTAAAATACCAAAATATCGCGATAGGAGAAGGGGGACTATGGGCACAAGAAGGGAGACGGCCGCAGGGCGTTTAACGCGAGGTCCAGCCACACTAGTCCTTCTGATATTGCTCTTCATGTAGGCGATCGCCACCGAAATGGGGGGCGATCCTTTCGAGCACGGCTTCTTGGCACACGCGTTGTACAGGTCTAAGGTGTAGTGGAACGGATAGTTGAGGCAGTGCATCTGCTCGACCTCCGTGTTCGGCTCTATGAAGTTGCGCCCGTCGCAGTAGAACTTGCCGTTGTGCATGACCACCGTGTAGCAGGAGAAGAGCGGCGAGTCGTAGAAGGAGATGAGCAGGTAGGACGGCTCGTGGGTGTCGGGCCGCTTCCAGATGGCGTACGGGGTCCCGATGGCCGGGATGCGGTCCTTGTGCTGCAGCCGAATCTCCTCCACATAGCTGCTGTGGCACACGTACTGCAGGATGTAGCCCTCGAGGAAGGTGCAGTTCTGGTCCTTGCATGCTGCCGGCGCTGGTCCCAGGATGAGCAGGAGCAGCAGGAGCAGCAGGAGGGGCAGGAAGGGCACAGGCCGGAACAGCGGGCGCGGCGGATGGTGTTTGGGCTGGGGCGGCGGTAAAGTCGTAGTCGAAGGCGGTGGACTGCGGGCCGGGCGCAGGGCTTGCCGATGATGCTGTGGTTGCTTTGTATACTGCGGAGGACGGAGCGACGGACGGTCGATCCACTTGTTATTCAAACTTCGTGCGCTTGAGAGGCGCACTGGCATTGCTTATAGGCAAATGATTCTTTGATCATTTTCGAAAAATTTGATGGGAATTTCCAGGAGAATAAAAACGGTTCCGATCAATTGTCCCCCGCCTGACATAAGATTCTCTAGTTGCCCCCGGCCCTGCGTTTGGCATCGACATTCTCAGGGAATGCTGACGCCCAGGATCCCGGGCCAAGTCCTGGCTGCCCGAGAGGGAACATCCCGATTGGGCACCCGCCGCGCATACAGAATGGCGACGCGACCAAACTTCGTGGCCGGCGAAAGGCCGCAGTGCTTCATCAGATCCCGCACGTAGGAGAAGGAGAAGTCGAAGCAGTGGATGCCCTCGGGTCGAATGTGGATGCCAGGCTCCTCGGAGTCCGCGCAATGGAGGCAGTTGAGGCTCAGGCTAACGTTCAGGCACGGCGAAATGGGCGACTCATAAAAGGAGATCAGCAACTCCAAACTGGGCCGTCGTCTCCACCACAGCCAGTAGGGCATGTCGGCCCTGAGCCAAACGTCTCGGTAGTTCAGCTTCAGGTCGGTGCTGTACTTGGCCTTGCAGGCCAGGCTAAATGGAATTTCGTTTTCTAGCATGAAGTGGCAGGAGTGGAAGGAGGCCTCGGAGGAGGCCAGAAGTAGTGCGATCGGGAGCAGCCACAGTTTGAATGTCATGGCTTTGTGGATAGGTGTACATAGGGTATGGAATGTAGAAGTATAGACTAATAAATCATGGCTGATACTTTGAAAACGACGCTTCTTCATGTTACATTTGGATTTACAATTTAGATTTAATGTGAAAAGCATCGCTCTTGGGCACAAAACCTCCATGTTAGTAAATGATCAGCGCACACATGGCCAGCACAAGTTTTCCGAGCAGACTTGGAGTACTTGCGACATTCTTTATCAAATCGGGACCCTTTACCCTAAGCGAGCCGTAGTGAAGGATCGGCTTCTTGGTAAGGACACTGGCCTCACTCATGTCTTGGCCCAGACAGTGCCTCCGCAGCTCATTCGTATAGCGCAGCCCGAAGGAAAAGCAGTGAAGGGTAGATGGTATCGTAAGCAGAAGATCGGTTCTATTTTTTCCTTTGGCGGCTAAAAAGTATTGGGCAAGATCCAAGGTGCCTTTCTGCAGACTGATGGCATCATAGTTTCGAAAAATCTTGGTGTAAAACGATACAAGGAGAGCGGTTTCGTCCTCCACGGACTGCCAAACGCTGTAGGGAGTGTTGGGCGGAGCTCGGTTGTCCCGGAACATTGTATACATATCCTTCGGGACATATCCCTTGCACACGAGCCTGTAGACCACGTTGGAGGCGTAGGAGCAATTCCCAGAGCTGTGCAATGCACGAATTTGAAACAAGTGCGCCAGAAATAGGATCGACACTCCAAAAAAGGTCAAGTATAAGCTCATTATAAAGAATTTATTGAAGCCTCATTACGGGCTTCCAAGTTTAAACACAACTGACATTATCCTCACGGCTTTAGGGATCCGTGTCGGGTGTCGCAGCCGCCGGCAGTTCCTAGATTTGTTAAGAGTTAACATGCCAATTAATTTAACTCTGCGGCACCTCAGCTGTGCGATAATATTTCTTATTATTATTATAATAATTATTCTAGTGTCTTTGGTATTACTATTTAGTATTTATGGTTTCTTGCGTCGGAAGCGTTGCCGACCATATAAAGTATATATATTCTTGATCAGGTTTAATAGCCGAGTCATTCTGACCGTCCGTCCTTCTTTCCGTCCGTCTGTCCGTTCGTCTGTCCGTTCGTCTGTCCGTCCGTCCGACTGTCCGTCCGTCTGTCCGTTCGTCTGTCCGTTCGTCTGTCCGTCTGTCCGTCCGTCTGTCCGTCCGTCTGTCCGTCCGTCCGTCTGTCCGTCCTTCTGTCTGTCCGTCTGTCCGTCCGTCCGTATGAACGCCGAGATCTCGTGAACTATAAAAGCTAAAAAGTTAAAGAGCAATGCAGATTCCACGCCCAATCTGACGCCCACAAGCCGCAAAAAACCGTCAAGACTACACTTTTGAACAATTTTTAATTTTTTTTTATATAAATATTTTATGCCAGAAAAATGTGGAAATTACTCGCATATCTACTAGCTGAGTATCGGGTAACTCGACTATACCGTTCTATTTCGTTTTAATTTCGATTCCTACTCGCAGTCATGCACTATTAACAAACTTTTACAGAAAGTTTCAATTTACTTTTGCAGCCAAAGATGATAAACATGTTTCAATTCAATGGAATTAATTAAAAATTCTCCCCTGAGTTCACGCATATTTAAGCAATACATACTTCCAGCAAATACGCTGAAATCGGGGAGATTTCGTAAGCCCGGCAATTTCAGCAAATTGAAAACTATGCTATTGGTACTCTTATAATAACTCATCAAATTCATTGTTTGCTAAGCAAGTACTGTATTTGCTTTACATAATACACATAAAATGTTTAAATAAGTTTTATATTGTAGATAGTTCTATACCACATCGACTCCAGAGCTCGTCGCTATTTATACAACTCATTGTTTTACTCCGGTCATTCAATCTCTTGCTTGAGCAGTCACTGCAGTCACTAGGTTCCAGGGAAGTCGGAGGAGGACATCGAATGTGAGAAAAAATTCGACAAAGTGATTTACATGTCTGTCTGAGCGTCCATTGAAAGGGCTGCATCAATTTGGGGGCCCAGAGGAGAAGAGACTGGAACGAATTTACTTTCAATTTCGCCTCAATGACAATTTCTCGGATTTAACTGCGTTTCCTGGGAGTTCTCGGACTGCGACTGGGCCAAGTCGTCCCTGTTTCTTCGTTGCCTGCCTTTATTAAATTACAATAATGATACACAATGGGGTGTGTATTTGGTCTGCGAGGCTGACAGAACATGTAAGATGCGCCTGAGAATCGAAGCGACAGCTCAGTGTGTGGCGCAGGTGTATTGTGTGGCCGATATAAAGGCCAAAGAAAAGAACCGAATTATGTCGGGAAAATGCCAAAACAGGCAGTGAATGAAAATCACGAGCAGAACCCCTTCTGGCACAGATATTCAAAGCTAAAATTACAATCCCATCTTCCATTCGAAAGAATGGCATTGCGCACTGATGTCCTTGCAACGCCCCAAACCTGCACATTATCCACCGAGCTTCTTGTGCTCTTTTCATTGTAATTTTTATACATATCACATGATTTACAGCTGACGATGCCTTCGGCACTTCGTTCGTGGTGACATCTGTGGCTTTCTCCTTCGATTATCCTGCTGCTGACACATTGACAATGCAAAGAGGATCCAATAACGCTGCTGCAAATTTTTTGCACTAATGGGGCATTGACAAACCACAGATGCGAACTTCTCGGTCAAAGCTAACAACATCAACTTGGCAAGAAGTAATTAAGGAAAGTAAGGGCCGGGCACCACGAGAATTACACATTTTTATAATGAATCGAAATAAAGAAAATAGGAAAATATGATGTCCTGCCGTAAAAAACCTGAACCAGGAAATAATTCCATTAGCAATATAAATAAACAAAGCCCAACTAAATGATTGAACAGGTACAGTCTCAGACCTTCGCCATGTCACGAACAGAATCAAACGGCGAGTCCTAAACCGTCTTCGCGTGCATAAGGCGAATGCAAACACACCTAAATACGGACAAGGACCCCTCCTCCTTCACTCATTTCTGCGGAATCTCCAAGGATGTCACTCGACTGCGGCCGGCTGAATACATATTACATGAGCCCCCAAGTGGAGCGCACACATATTGACCCATTTCGATGCTGCCGGGTCAGACAGGTCGCCACCCTCTACACAGGCCATCCCAATCCCAGCCACCTGGGCCAGAAGCTTTCGAGTAGTTTTGGTTAATAAAGTCAAATGCCACCAAAATCAGAAGGAGAGCGCCACTTACGACTAATGGCATCACGGCATCACGGCATCGGTGGCAAGATGCCACATCCTGACACATGTATGCTGCCTGCCACCAGCAAACACACCACCAACAACAGAAACAAAGGCCCTTGGATATCCGTCAGTAACCTAGGGGCTCTGGCGAGCTGAGACGAAATTGGGTATTTTTAATTGTATTAACATCGCTTAGCAGCAGTACAGTGGGCAAAAGTGTAAGCAAAGTGTAATCAGGTTTAGTTGAAGTTTGAACTAAGAAATTTGTATATGTCCCTAAATGAGTTAACATTTTTATATTGTAAAAAGTTGTCAAAACTTTTTTGTTGTTACGAACAGGTTCGGTTTATTTATATATTTATTGTTGATCAGGATCATGTATGTAAGTGCGCATGGTCGAGATCTCAAGAACTATTAGACCTGGAGGGTTTTGACTCAAAATGCCGAGTCTAGTATCAGCGATGCAGTAAACAATTAGAATATTAAAAATCTAAAAATATTAATATAAACTTCAAAAGCACGTAGTATCATCTCGTGGGCAATCTGATGAAATAGATTGCTAGACTGCTTGCTAAAGCATTTGATTTCTGCTTGCTACAGTACTTTTTTTTGGATATTGCATATCTTCATCACTCTTCCACTTCCTTTAGCTGACTAACAGGTATCTAATAGTCGCGCCACTGCGATTATTGCAATTACTCTTGTTTTATTTTGTGGGATCAAACGTTTCTTATAGTCCCTTGGTTCCGAATTAGATCTCTGAAAACGGAAATAGGGTAGACCCAACAAAAACACCTCTTAACGAGGTAAAAGAAGATAGAATGCTATAGTTGAGTTCCCCGACTATCAGATACCCGTTACTCAGCTAGTGGAGCTGCAAACTAAAAATTTCTTCATTTTCTGGAATATCGGTAGAAGTTGAGTAAAAGACAAATTAAACATTTTTTAAAAAGTTTGGCCGTGACAGTTTTGGGCGGTTTGTGTGTGGAAGATTGGCCGTGGTAACATCATTTTATAGTTTCTGAGATCGAACAACCGGTATAACAAGTGACGATCGCACATGATGTTGTTTCAAAGACAGTATTTTCTAATGAAATGAAAGCTGCAACGCTACTCATGATGCTTTGTTAAACTAGTTAACAGCTTCTAGGTTGTAAACGAAAAAAAGGCTTTAAAAGGCTTTGAAAGTTGGAATGACCGGTGCACTTTGGCCCACTGTTAGTCAGCGATTCTAGGCCTACCCCTGGTCATCGCGATTGGCGCCGTTTTGTGGAGCACTTAAGTGCTTACCGAGGCCTCCAGGTATTCAATATTGGGCTATGTGATTTAGCTCCCAGCCTAATTGCCGCTTTTAGTTGGAGATGGTAAGTGGTAAATAGTATGAGCTTGTAATTATAATATCAAAACGAATTTCTATTACACGTATACACGTATGTATATTAATTTGTCTCAATTTCTCTAATCTAAAATTTTGGTTCTACAAGCTGATATATTTATTTGATCGCAAAAAATTAAAGGACACTGCCCCATTCGACGCTAGAAATGCTCTGCTCCCACATGGGACTGCCAGGCAGCGCCTTGAAAAGTCCAAAAGCAGTGCAAGAGACCTCACGTGCTCCCCAACTGAGGAGTCAACAAAAGTCAGCCGAGGAAGTGGGGACCAGCACAAACGACAACGAATTACTCGCTGTCAGAGAAGGACAACGGAGCAGCAGTCGCAGGACTTGGGTGTGGGAGATTCCGAGGACTGTGCAGGGGATTGCGTGTCTGGCAAGTCGGCGACCGAAAATCAAAAGAAAATTAATATTAAGAAATTGCACGAAATGAGTAAATGAAGCGTGGACGCCTAATGGACTGGCGTCTGAGCTGCAGCGGGCCAGGAAGGGCGACTGATTGCCACCTTGGAGAAATATGTATCAAAAATTCCACGAAAACTAATCAATGTCAAGCGTCCGTCGATTGTTCCTCGCCGACGTCCCAGATAGATAAATCCGGGGTCCTAGGCGATTCCACGCGTGGTTAGCTGAAATAAAAAAATAATTTGCTTTTGTCCCGAGTAATTTATTGGCTGTCATAAAGTTGACGGGGCGTGTCGCAAGGAGTGTCATCGGAAGGGCGGTCCTCCAAGGACTTGCGATTTCCACCCGTTATCTGTTCATTTGAGCTCCCGCTTAACCCTACTTGTATTTATGTTTCATTTAAATTGCTGTCGCCCTGCTCGCCGCCTGAATCTGTGGTCTTGGGGACTTAAAACTTTAGTAATTGCACATTTTCCGCTCAATAAGTCAAGCTGAAGTGGCCGGCATCATAATTCCTGCAATAATAGACTAAGCTTCCAGCCCGGACATGGGAACTTCTCCGGTTCAGTGTACAGAAAATCAATATGCGCAAAGCAAGGCTCAGCTAATGAGCGAGTTCGGCAAAAAATGGACAGGTCTGGGCTAATGGCTTCTCCTTTAGTCTATTATACTCCCATAGCAACATCTGTGATCGAAGGCATAATGTAGAGTATTAGCAAATAAACTCGAAAGAATTCATACACCGCCGTCAATGTGCATCGCTGACATTG